AAAGCGTCGTAACAGCTCTGTTGAGCGTCTCATTCGGAGCTTGCTCACACAAAATCTCATCCTGAATCTTACTGATGGACTCAGCCGTGGTTTGGCTGTTTGCCTCGGACGCGTTTCTACGCTGTTCAAGCACAAACGCCTCAAATTGCTCCAACTGAGCAACATGTTGCTCAGGAGGACAATGCAAGAGGTTGAACAGGGCTTGTTCATCAAGTCCCTGCACCAAGTGCTCTGCCACCTCCCTATGATGTTAGGAGAGGTGATGAAAATCACCCCAATCCACGTTGAACGTTGAGGGACATCCGTAGCCACACGCACTCTCAGATAGACGGTACGTGGGAACGACTACAAGCGCTACCAAGTGTAGACGAACACCTCAAAGAAGTTGCCACGTGCTACGAGCACACACCTTCGAGAAGCGCGAGAAAGCGGTTCAACCGTCTTACCTCCGCGTGCGGTGGTGGTGGTGGTCGGCGCCGAAGCGCATGTACCAACCATTACCGGTCGTCTTAAGTGAACCGCGTAACGAATTATAAAAAACTCCTAACTGCGTCTCGATGCTTTTCCAGTCTTCCTACGCGCAGTGAGTGTGATGTAGTAAGTTTAAGACTGACTTATATTTAATAGAAAAATAACTAATGTAACCCTTAATACTGATTAATTGAGTGCAAAGATATGATACGCGTCTCTTTAGAAGCTTTTCCCTACGTGCGAGATTAATATATATTCAAGCTCGCTGGTGACGTCTTTCTAAAGAGTCACCATGACGCTAGTCCCAACTGGCGTCATCCTCGTTAAATGTGAATTCATCCATGGATATCACATTCTCGAGGGTGGGTCACATTGACGTGCCACACCCAAGTGGCAGGCCTAAGGTACATCGTACCCATTTAGGCCTGCCCGTTAAGTATTCGATACTTAATGAATCGTGTATCTTTAGCCCGTTACAGAAAGACTCTTAGTTCTAGAGAACTCATTAAAGTTGACGGCTTAAAGCCACTTAGTCTTAAAGAACTAATAGAACGACTTATAAGTCACCCTGTTTTAAGGAACTGGGGGAGGCTTTTAGTCTACAAGCAATAAGCTTAAGGCTCATAGAACCAACGCACAGAGTCCAAGAACAAGCTAGAAGCTTAGAGGTTTGAGAACCAACGCGCGAAGTGCACAAGTGTGGTGGAGTGGATTCTCAAACAACGTAGGAGATCCACAAGCACACACAGCGCCGGACTGCCGACTTACGGAGGGGAACCCCGATACCGTGTCGTGTTAGCCTTGGGTCTCACCTTGTGTACCCGTCGTCTTGGCTGGTCTTTCTCCTCGGTAGACGCAGAGGACTTAAAGACTTGGTCTTTGTATAAGACTTGGACTTGGTGGTCCCCGAGTGGATATACTTCACTTGGGACCGGGTTTCTTGGGCTCAATCGACTTAGTCGAGAGCGATGCACCTGGTACTGCGTACCCCTTTGGTGGATGACTGTTCTTGGTCCTTGGACCCCATCCCCGTAGGGAAACCGCTTCCTGTAGCGGGTCGTAGAGTCTTGACACTTACTTGACACCTCAGGCCAACTATCCTGAGGTTCAACTTGCGTATCTTGAGCCGTCTAACGCCTGCTGGACGTCGGGGGGCCAAAGGGTATCCCGCCCGGCAGAGGTGAAGCGACGGAGAAGCTTAGAAGGGGCGCTTAAAGCTGCCACGTGTAATGCAAATTCGAGTGTGTTAATTTATCTTATTCTCTGTATGCTTTTCTTGCCAAACCCTAACCCTTCGCTCTGGATGTACCACGTGTCAACTTGTGGAAGAACAACTGGCTCTTTTAGGACATGGGACTTGTACCGGCTCTGCACTTTAAGGAAGCCTTGTACCTTCTATAACTTGGGGTCCACCGGTCACCTGGGTCTACCGTTCACCTGGGGTCCACCTGTCGCCTAGGTCCACCTGTCACCTGGGGCCCACCTGTCGCCTGGGTTTACCTGTCACCTGGGGTCCACCTGTCACCGGGGTCCACCTGTCACATGGGGCCTACCAGTAACCTGGATTCCACTGGTCACCTAGGTCCACCTGTTGTCTGGGACCCACCTGTTACCTGGGGTCAACCTTAGCTGCCCTAGCAGCACTGGTCCTTTGGTCTGTAGTGTAGGACATCCTAGTACCTTCTCCGAACTCGGGACCTTGGACCAGTTCGGGGCCCTGGTCACTCCCTGTCACTCATTCAAGAGAGTGACCGAGATCTTTCACTTCACGCCAGTTACTATAATAATTACGAAGGGCCCCTCATTTCTCTGGCACTTCTCCACACAAGCGAATAAGTCAGAGCGACTTGCGATCTTACACTCAAAATAAGAATTGATTTCATTTATGCATTAAACTTTTTTATGAATAGTCCTACTCTAAGTACCCTACACTACTATAAAAGTAAATATAATATGCAGACTTTGCTATTGGACGACGTATCGTCTAAACATCTGTGTATGATGTACTTAGTACAGCGTTCTCGATCATTGAATCCAAATCGATAAGATACGGTATTACCGAATACCGTATCTTTAACGCTTATACTTAATACCTCTCTAAAGAGATATGAAAATGAATTATATGTAACAAAGGGAAACTTCAACCTTAACTGGTTGTGCAGAACTCCATAGCGACTTTTTTTGATTCTTCAAACTTTCATCGCGGTTCCTTGGGGTTCGTAATTTTGGTGGTTTTCGGCTTGAGAGGCCTCCAGCCAGTAGTTGACATCATGGTCATAAGATGCCGAAACCTCCGTGACAACACCTTCCTCCGCGGAAGCGTGCACTTGAACAGATGCTCCGGTGTCCATAGCGATATTCGCCAGTCGATCCGCCATCTTGTTGTATGAGCGATAGTGATGTCCTCAGCTGGAGACACCGATATCGTCAGCAATTAATCTTGCCTCTCGTAATAGCATGGCTTGCGTAAAGGATGGTGCGTTCAAAGTTGCAAAAGCACAAGCGCACTATCCTCCACGACATGCAGATGTGAGTAACCGCTACCCTTCGATTGTTGAAGCTCGTGCACGAGCCCCCAGTATTTAGCGACATTGTTAGTGGTATTTGCATAACAGTAGGCCATGCTCGGTACCCACAAGACGCACGCTGCGTGCGACTAAATGTGAAGTCGGACAATATGGATCCTGCTCCGCCCGGTCCAGGATTTCCTCTCGACCCCCCGTCGAAAAAAAGCAGGTAGAAAACAATAGGGATGTGAGCACTGAAGTCTATGTCCGCCTAGCAACAAAAATGCTCCAAGACACTATCTTCAATCGGCAGCCGGTACTGCATATCCCTCGTAGCCGACAGGAGAAATCGCCTGAGGAACTGACATGGCTGCAGACTTTCAGAAATCTTGTAAACCGTCAACGGTTTACATAGACAGTTTGTTACCACACCACCACATTGACCTTGCCTATATTCATGCGAATAATACCAATTTAAACGAATTCCCCATTGACAGGCGCGTCGGTATCGGTGTTCGTGCAAAGGTTCGCGGCCGATCCGTTAAGTCGTAGCCAAAAAGTCTTATGCCGCCGCAAAAAAATAACAAGTCTGTAGCACTTGCTGCTGTTGCCGATTTCTTAACAATTCTGACCGCAGACAAGAGTGAACATCAGGCTAAAAGTGTGAGTTACGTTTACGCATAGGCTTAAAGGCTATAAAACAGCTCATTTCTCATGCTGCGCAGGCACAACAATGTAAGAAGTAAATTATGCATAAGGTTTTGGCAGTAATTTTTCATGTTTGCAATTACAATACGTAGTTAAGAAGATAGTTGTGGAGCCGACCAGTGTCGCCCATTCAACATCCTTACAAAAACAACACGTGTAATGTGCTGTTAAAGCTTCAAAAGAAGAAGCAGGAACTATGATTGGAATTGCTAATGTCACTACGAAGTAGACACAAAACACGACAAATCGTGGTAGATGATAATCGTCTATTGTTACTAAACCTCGCAACGTTGTAGCAAACACCTTTTAGATAGACATCTTGGACCTCTGTTGGAGAAGTGACAGAGAGTACATGATACAGTACTCTTCTTTGACGGGGGTGCGCGAGGAAATGCGTGCACCGGGGGCGCCCGGTCCATCATTGTTGTAGGCGGAATGACCACCAAACCGCCGGTCATCCTATATATAGGCAGCGTCTCGCTCACCGCCGCCGCCACCCACGACCAACAATGTGGCTGAGTACAAGGGCCTTTTGTTTGGTCTCAGGAAAGTTCAGGCTTATACAGTGAATAGGCTTCACGTCGTTGGCGACAGTAACCTCATATTGGGGCAGATAAGGAGAAGAAAGGAGTCGAAAGCACAGCATGTGCAAGACCTATACCGACAATGCAGGACAATCGCTGATCGGCTAAACGTGGCCATCTGGCGACAGAAGCAATCTGACCTAATACATAGTATTAATAATGTAGGAGACAGATGTCAGTCGTCTAGACCCCGACAATTAGTCCATCTCATCATTAGTACACCGTTTGGTAGAGAAAAGGAAGACGCAACTATATAAAAAGCTCGTATCGATCAGTACCTCAATTAGCTAGCCTCGAAGAGTTATCCCAATGACCTGGTAGATCAATTAATGCATACATTAGGTGGTCTCATCTGGTGGCATTGTCATTCACAACCTATGTCGCATATTGCTGCCAGCGTCTATTTGTCAACTAATGGCGCATATTCCGATTGTTTTGTTGTACTTGGCGAATCTACAACTTCGTCACATTGGAGAATCGATGAACTAGTCGAAGTGAAAAAAAGGCCCACGAATTGTTACGTCGTTTTGCTGTTCGCAGGCCAGAAACGATCGACAGCGTGGCGTTACATGTGGTATCTCGTCGACATTAACATACGACAGCAAATTTCTCATTTTGGTAACTTGTGCCATTTGGCACCACGTTCTCACTTTCAATTCTGCTTATCGGCTTCGCAGTCCTTCCATATCGCCACCATCACCACAAGCTTTACACCAGTACATCATTCACGATGAAGCTCTTCGTTCCGACCATTCTCGTCTCCGTGATGTTTATGCTTAACCACGATGCCAATGCTCTCAACGTCAGGATACCCGGTGTCAACTATAACACACGCAAGGGACCGGATTGGGCACCTGAAAGCTCCAAGTGCAAGAACGCGGCCGAGGTGCAGAAAGACATGTATGCCCTGAAGGGAATCACTGACGTGGTCCGCATCTACTCGCTGATAGACTGCAACCAGGCTCAACACGTCCTGCCGGCAGCCAAAATTGCCGGTTTGAAGGTGCATCTGGGTATCTGGACTACGGCCAGTCACGACTACCTACTCCAGGAGAAGAGCAAGCTTGCTAACCTCATTGACTCTGGTCTGTACGATGATAATGTCATTGGTTTGACCGTGGGTAGTGAGACCATCTACCGTGAAGAGATTAGTGGTATTACGGCCATTAGCTACATGAACGAAATTCGTGACTATATCCGTAGCCGTGGCAAGAACACGCTCGTCACGATTGCGGATGTCGTTGATGTTTATGAAGACAATCCACTGCTCGTTGATGCGGTGGACTACATTTCGGTGAATCAGTTTTCATTCTGGGAAAAAGTGAACGTGAACGAAGGAGCAGCTGTTACGCTCGATCGCCTAAAGAAGCTACGTGTGATTGCTGCAAACAAGGGCAAGAAGATTATTATCTCCGAGACGGGTTGGAGTTCGGGTGGCTCGGACCCTGATGCTTCCGTCGCATCTCCTGAGAATCAGGCCAAGTTCTTCTTGGACTTCTATCAAATGGCTCGCTCACACAACTTTTTCTTTTGCTGGTATGTCGCGTTCGACTCCAAGTGGCGTGTGACAAACGGCGGCAAGGAGGTCGAAGCTGACTTTGGCATCTTTCAGGAGAACGACATCATGAAGAGCAACTTCCAGCAATTGACAATCGGCTGGAAAGACCCCCGTGCTATCCGCAATGCAGGCACAAACTTGTTGCTGTCAGAGAATGATGGCAACTTGTACATGTCAAGCAAGTCGAGCGACTGGCTGGTGCAGGAGCAGCAGGTGTGGTTCTACGATCCAGTCACTCAACAGGTGCGCTCAAAGAGCAGTGATCGCTGCCTGACAGCTCCCCAGGCTATGGATGGCGGCATTGTGCGCGTGTCCGGCTGCTTCGACAACAACGTTGACCAGAAATGGACGTACGAAAGTTCGACCGGTAAGCTGAAGTACGTAAAGAACCAGTATTTCTGCCTCGACCAGGACCCTGCTCAGGGCAACAAGGTGCAGCTGTATGGATGCTCGCTCAACAACAGGAACCAGCAGTGGAGTGTTATTGACCCAGCGACCATTTAGATTCGCTTCCGTCTCTACAATTGAATGTAGATACTATGTGCGGATTCACCCTATGGAGGTCATACACCTTGTCGTAAATACACGCTGACAATTTGTTCATTACCTGCGCGTATGTCAGCTAGCACATGTTGAAAAGTTGAAAGAATATCTGAAAACTGTTCGAACGACAGACAACAGCAATCGATACTTTTCGGTTTGTAATCTTGAAAGCGTTAGAATGCGACGTGCTGGCAAACAACCAATAGCTACAGAACAAGGCTGTCTTGCTGCAAAGTATCCTGTCGCACGTAACGTATCTTTTGTTCAGAGGGAGGACATTAGTAGCATTTTGCCATCATTCTTTGTATGCATTGCTGAGGACAAGCGATCACTCGTGGACACGAACGGACGTTTAACTTTGCTTGTCGCTTTCAAACAATATGAAAGCAAGAAGCAGTGAATGGACACCAAAGCCAGCATTTTGCCACGTTATTGATGCGGATTTTGCTTGTCTTCGACAAAGCAAAGGAATAATGGCAGCACAACCAACAGCGTAGCCACTTAAAGGTGCTGGCTGAACACGTGACTAGTATGCCGTTGATTATGCTGTCATCAGCCCTTCACTTTGTCAAACAACAAGCCCATATCAATATGACATTTGTCGGCGAAATATCTTCTCTATATGCCAAGTTGTCGTCTACTTGAGCAAGTCTCGTCAAGCGTCAGTTTGGTCTTCATTCAGCCAAGTGCAAGCTGATTGACGTAGTGGCTACTGACGTGCCCTACCTGATGAAAATTTGGCTGCTACCTTTCATCGGTCGATTCTAATCTTCTTCTGTAAGGTGTAGAATCGGTGATGCTGCTAAAGCTGGTAGTAGCAGGTAATACGGTTGACCAAGCTGAACGCCTTCAATTTTTCTTGCGTGACCTGCAGCCACCTCCAAGCAGACAAAACTAAGCAACTTGTGAGCTTATCTGCTCGGGATGACGGCGGCTACCGAAAAGGTCTGCGTGTCTACCTACTCTCGTGGAACGCTTCCATGACTTCTGACCGCTTTTGCTGCCCAATATTGCAAGACACAAAATGAGCTCCAAGCACTCAAAGAACTCCGGTGCGCCGCAAACGTTATATTTGGAGTTCCGGAGCTTTTAACGTAATGAATCCGCTTCGACCACTAAAGGTTCCGCTAGATCAGATCTATCACAAGCAATGACAAAACGTTTGCTGTCATAATCCGTCTGGTCTGAAGCGCTTCGCCTGCATACAACGAAGTTCGCACAAAACATGCTTGCGAAACCTCATGGGTGAACAAAAAGAGTGGAGTTACTAGACAAAGCATGCGAGGGTGAGAGGGAGGCGTGTGTTTTACATGACTGTCTCAGCTCATGTGGCCACGAGCGCAGCAAGAGTCGACAGCGAGTAATTCTATTTCGGACGCGCTCCTGATCACTCAAAAGAGCTATGTCGTCTGACGATGTGCCCAAGCAACACCTATCAGCCGATGAAAAGCCCGTTAAAGTCAATCTGACTGCATCAACGATCAGCAAGAATGAAGAGAAGAGAAAGCTCAAAGTCCAGTGCTAAGTTAAGATCGACACTAGGTCCATCAGCGCTGTAGTGACATTTATCGGCTTCTTGCGCACGTTGCGAAGCGCAATGCCAAAAGCTGCGAGCTCACGCACTTCTTCCCGAGTGACCGGTAGTTTGTTGAGTGTTAGAAGCTCGAGGACCTTTACCTAACGATCAACCCACCGCGTAATCTTATAGTCGCGAAGCTTTTAAACAGTGTCCCAGCTTCGCTCCCAATCTTTTTTGCCCCATTCCGATCGATATCATGGTCCATGGACATGAAGCGCAGTGCTTCTTTCTTTCGTCATCATGTCTTGTACTTATTTCCCTAGAGCAAATGTGTCATTGCAAAAGCTTTGATTCACTTCATCGGAGCTTTTGAGCAAATAAAAGGCAAAAATGGCTGTGTTGCTCGCCAACGTGTTGAGCGTACAGGATAGCGATCACTCCATAGTTGCCTGGGTCTAGTGTCTTCCTCATGATGCAAACAAGCTTATGGCTCGAACTGAGCTAGGCATTGAATACCGACCAAACCATGTGAACGCCGACAAAAGGAAACTCGTGACTTTCACCGTGACCTAGTTGAGCTTCTGAATTCACTCCGTGTAAAGACTTTCTTGTTCGACTGCAAGTAGTAGTCTCTGCAGCACACTAGAGATGTCTACTATACCGCACAGCCCTAACATGCGGTAGACTCGCAGGCGAAGCTAAATAAGCTACGGCTTCATCCGAATGCTCGTCGTAGTAACATGCGCAATGTACTCGATCGACCGGAAATCCGTGCCGCTAGAGTCTCCACTGAGCCGTGACACAGTGGTGCAAATGTCTGTCAGAAGCTTGCAATTGGCATAAGTTGAGGTCTGTCCAGGTTGCTGGGTATGGTAATGAAGGAACGTATTCTTCGAACAACCGTCGGCTGTCACTGCAAATGTCCATATGCAATTGGAGCTATCTGGACAAAGAGTAAGGTAAGGCCATCTTCGGCGAGATTGACCACCACGCACTGGAGTTCAAGAAGCTGATGCTGTCGTTGTGCTCAACTCTAAACAAACGCTGACTTACTCGCTCGTTAATTTGTGACGACGCATTTGCTTTGTCCCGGTCTTCATGGCAAAAGTCGCCAGACTTGAGCTATCGAGACAACGGGTTCACGTCAAAGCCTGACACAGACGATTTCAGTCGACACGTATTATAAAGTGTTCAACAAACTAGAAAGGCACATATTCGCCTCCTTAGCCATTTCAACTCTGCCGTCACGTAGTGCTAATTTCTCTCCCCCATCGGCAGTATCAAAGCCGTTACTTTGACGGTAAGTCGCTGTTTGATATTTAGTCAAAGCAACTAAAAAGCCAGTACTTTCTTGTAAAATTGTCGATGGGGTTTATGAGCTTGAGAGGAAAAGAGATCGGACGTATGCGATGGCAGCAGAATCACAACCAGGAGATTCAAATGAGCATTGTCTCATTTATTGCACATGTTGAAGTGTTGTGACACGAAGAGACGTGACCTTTCATGATTAGATCGGTCCAATCAGAAACTGCCAATTGCGGCGCGCTCGACAAATGTACCTTACTTCTGGTACTACAAAAACAAGTAATAAAGGTAGGAGATCTCCGGACCAGGAATTAATATCCACCACTTGTCTAATGGCTTGTTAGTATCAAGTAGGGAGACAAGAAATAGGGTTCTATAGCGTAGATTATCCAAGACCTGCGATCTACGTCTGGCAGTATAAATATGATGTCTCCTTTTACTTCATGGAAACTACCACCGTTTCCATGAAGGAAGGTGAAAAAATGACAGCAGTAAAAACTGAACGGTAATGCGCTGGCTAGAAAAATCATGATCTTCTCGCAAAATTACCGTCCTATTATAATCAAAGCCGCTTTGCAGGGCTTATGAGACCCATATGAAGCCACTACATAGTACTACTGCTAATTGCTTACAATTTTGCAATGAGTTTGAAAAGCACTGCCATCATATTGACCCAAAAACTAACAGCTCTTGGTCCTTAAATTGATACATCCTGTCTTACCACCTGCATTGGCTCTTCATATGTGACAATCATAAACTTAGAACGAAAAACCTGGAGGCAAATTAAATGCAAAGGAATGTCTAAAAAATGAGTCGAAGCGACTTGCACTCTTCGTCTTTTGAGCATGTTCCTTGTATAAACCGATAACATGTTTGCAAGGTCACAACCACGCTGCAGTCGTTGTCTTCATTCCGCAAGACGCACTCAACAGCTCAAGTCGATTGAGCGGAAGTGTCATTTTTTTTTCATTGTCGATTGTTTTTTTTCTTAGAATCATGAGCATGATTGAGGACTTGAACGTCACTAGTTTTTCTAGTGAGGAAGAAGAGGAAAAGTTCATGTTTCCATTTGAACAAGAAGACGATGCGTTTTTTCTTTCATTTCGACTACATAGTCAAGGGTCCAATATCTTTCATCCCATTGACGGGGTGGATATCGAACGTCCCGCGAATCCATTAGTAGCCATTTTAGAATATCAAGAAATTGTTGAGAGTCGAAAAGAGGTGTCACAAAAGGAGCCTATGGAGGAAAAACTAGTGGCGGTTACTCCAGTTCCCAGGAGTCGTAAGCGCAAGATGCTCCAATTGCCCAATGCTCCTGTTCAGATTATCCGTCCAGTGGCCAAGAGACTTAAGTCCAGTGTCTATGAACATGGTGCTATAGCACCTGCATCACTTATGGGAAGCTTGTCTCTTGATCGGACAAGAGATGGAAAAGGTTGTCATTTAGTAGAGAACAACAAGACGGACAAGGCCAAAGCTCCGTGCTGTTCAGCTTCTATCAACATTCCCAATATGTTCCAGCCTATTATCTGGCCTGGAGATGCCTTGGTATCTCATAACACGGAGAGAGACGGCAGCCCTTCATGCTCATCCTCGTCCTCGTCCAAGTCGTGGACTAGTGGTCTTGAGCTCGTTTGTCGACGCAGTCTAGACGTGTCGTCTCCAGTGTGTGAGTGCTTTAATGACTTGGCGCTTACCTCGTCGATTGGAAGCTGCAAAGGATCGTGAAAGAGAGAGAGCAGAAGAAGAAGAAGACATGATCGTCTGCTTCATCGGGTTCAGAATCAATCTTCATCTACGTACTACCTACCAACAAAAATCATCAACACACCAAGCGACGCAAACGACATTGCAGCAGAGCCGACCAGTCATCCAAAAAAACATCTTCATCGCTCTGGGGCAGACCATAAAAAACAAGTGGCAGCACTTCAAGCAGTACCGCTTCAGCACGTCAGCAAAAGAGGCCTTAGAGGCCCACTCACCAACCAATGCAATGCCCTGCCCCTTTCAGGGCTATTGATCTGATCGATATTGCATAAACCGAAACACTAGAAACACTCCATGCAGGTGACATGCCCCATCCAAATTACTGAGATCGCAAAGCGCAGACATCCATTACGTTTCCAAAATATTGAGCGAAGCTCCAGGCCGTCAACTCGTCCGTTAACTCCTTAACTAAGAATTTGTTGGAGCTCAGCAAGGCATTGTTGTACCGCTACAGATTTCACTTGAGTAGCTTTTGAAGCAGTAAAGATGGCGATATGGATGCCTGCCACTTCCTTAGCTTTCGAGTCACCATGTAGCGCCTGCAACAATGGAAAGCAGTCCTTTTCGTTAAACAAGCGGGAACGAAACATGCAACATGCCACGAAACGTACAAGTGTGCCGATGGCTATGAGTGATCGCAGCATCGTGTCGTCACCGAGCTCTTGGACAGTGTACGGCCCATTTAGTAGGTCTGCGACTACAGAAATCACGACGACCTGGTCATCAGGTGACAGCACACCAGGCGTCGCTACTTGTGCTCGTGCAAAGCTACACGAATAATCCAATACGATACGGTTAGGTCACAAATAAATCTCATCATACTAATGGAGAATAGCAACACCCACTTGAGCAGAACGGTCGAGAGGCTTAGCGCCACCAGCTTGTGGTGGAAAGCCAGGAATGACGGCAATTTACTCAGCACCTCAGTCTTGTGCTTCAGGACGGCTTCACGCGCTGCATCATGCAGGAACATATTCGCAAGAACGCGCAGCGATAGCATACGGGTTGCAACAGGAACTGCATCGTCACCGTCCTTGGGGCCTTCTTGCAATCCCAAACTGAGGACCTTCGTGACAAGCGTACCCAATCCAGCATCTCCTAGCGCAATTGGGCCTTGGGGGTGCACTACCACGATCCTGAGAAGATCTAGCATCGGAAAAGCTAATTTTGCCGGCCACTTGTCTAAAGCACTTCTCAATGCCGCGATCTCTGGAGGGGCAAACGTGCTAGAGTGATAGAACGCAGTATCCTGGACGGTGAATACGATGTGGTCAAGAGCAATTAGCTGAGAGTCGGTAAGAGCATCAGTGTCCTACAATAACAAAGGAAACGATCACACATTTAGGTTTTGTCAGCATACAACGCATCGAACGCATACGTACCTGAGTATCCTTCATCTTGTCATTAAATTGGCGCAGCGTGCTCATGAGCTTCGAGATCTTGGTCGTTTCGAAGGTGTTATATCCGGACTTCAGTACATCATGCAAAGACAGCATCTTACCAATTAGGCACAATCGTTTGCCGTGCTGATCGGGATATGGAGTACACGTACCACAGGGAAATACTTGTATTGAGAAGCAGCTACAGTAGGCTCATGGGATCCAGTGCCACTAGAGACAGAATTCACACTGTCGTTGTTTTCAAGCACAGGGGGCCGATACTCACCAGCACGTTGCGTGATGTAGTCAGCGATTTCGCGGAGGTAAGACTGGTCTAGAACGTGCTTATCGATAAACTCTTGTGCAACCGTGAAAGGATTCTGGCCCTGGTTGTATCCAATTTCAAGCTTTTTGAGACCACCAGGCAGCTCGATCTCAACGGGAATTACCATATCGTACGCCTCACCGTCAACAACACCTCCGCCGCCGGTACCAGTTACCTCACCAATCTACAAACACATTATACCTGTCAGTAAGTAGATACGAGCCACAAGCCATTTCATACAAAAGAACCTACATCGATCCAGGTTCGGGAAGGACCACTCCATTGACAAGCCCACGCTTTCGTGCCACGACGGAACATTTGAATCTGGTTGTCTGAAGTCCCAGTGACACTCGCACGCTGATCATAATTGGGGAGCGATTCGATCTCCACACCACTCGGCCCACGCGTCTTGGCGATCCGAGCTTCTTCTACTGCTGCCTGGAATGAAGCCGCTGCGTCCGGGTCCACATGCGCTGGATCATGTGTGAATACCCGCACAATTTTATCATCGCAGCCTGTAGCAAAGTCTCCGTTGGGCAATGGCGAAACGCACCACAGTCCTCCAGGATGTTCAATAGTCTGCACAAGAGCACCATCTACCGACCACACACGCGCTGTGCAGTCCTCACTCGCAGACACCACTAGTCCGTTACTTAATACGCAAACGCCTAGTACAAAGCCCGGTTTTCCTTCTGCATTCAACGGGTGCTCCATACTAGCCACCACAACTCCATCGAGCGTCCGATGCTTAATCGATCCGTCATTCGAACAGCTTACAAAACCACTATCTGACACCAATGCCAGCTGTCGAATTGGTCCTTTGTGGTCCATCAGTGTCTTGAACAGCGTGAACGTGTCCTTGGTCCAGAACCGCAACTTAAAGTCCGCTACACTATTGCCCACTTGTTGCCCTGTAGAGCCCGTAACAAGTGATCCATCCGGCAGTCCGAGCACGCAGACACCATTCTCATGGCCAGGCAGTACGTGTAGACACTGCTGCGTCTCTAGGCTCCAGACTCGCGCAGTGCCGTCCCAACTGCCAGAAAACAATAGCTTCTTGTCCATAGAGACTGCAAGGGAGATAACACCTCCCTCATGTCCCTTCATCAGTCCAACACGTTGTCCCTGGACGTCAAAAAGACGGATATTCTTGTCCATGCTGCCCGTAGCAAAGCCTCCATTCTCGAGTGCCACACTGGCCGTTACCCAATGTTCATGGTCGTAAATAGTAGCACTTTCCATAGTGAAATAGCTATTCACAGCAGAGTTTGAGTCACGTAGCCAGAAACGTGCTACGGAATCCATAGCACCAGTTACCATCAGATCCTTTGAAAGGGACGAGATACATCGGATCTACAAGTAATTAAGAAGCGAGAGAGTGAGAGAAGAATCAGTACAAGATGATGGATGATAAAGTAAATGTAGATAATAAAAGAATACACGCACTGCTCCTTCATGTCCCCGGAGTTCACAATTAACATCATAAGTGACTACCATGCTATCGATTTGAATGAGGAAGGGAAGATTGGGAGGGGGGGGGTCGTCTTGATTTAGCAAAATACGAGCTGATTGATTTGAATGGAGTTGACACGGAAGATCAGTTGAATTGAGAGGATATATTTGTTAGGAGGTTAAGATCTTGTCTTGAGCTGTGGTCACTACTTGTCTCAATATGATGAGAGAGACTGTGATGAAAGCAGCACGATTACAAAGAAGAAGAAGAAGAAGAAGTTGGGGATGCAGTTACCACATTTTTCAATCTCTTAGAGCTGTTTCTTTGCATTCACGACCACTGGCGGAGAATTCTTGGGCCCGAAGATATACGCACGAATGTAGAAGTTCATGAAGAGCCAAAAGAGTGACTGGACGTACACAAGGTACATGAGGGGGACCTTGGGTGGCATGCCCGGACACTGACGTGAGTATGTGAGATAACCTTGTACGTTCATGGTGACGAATTGAATGAGTTGGATACGTGTGAGGTACTTTTTCCACCAGATATCACGCGTATGGGCGCTTACAAAGTAGTACGTGTACATGATGGTATGCACAAAGCCATTGAGTACAATGGTAGCATACGAGTCACCGTCCTGGGCGGCACGGAATGTCACGTAGTAGACGAAAAGTACCGTAAGATGGTGGTACACGTGCAAGATGGAGAGCTGTTTCCATTTCTTGCCAAGGATAATGAAGACCGTGTCACAGAGATCAAGCATCTTTGACAAATAGAAGAGGTAGAGCACATTGCCCATAACGGGAGCATCGGCTTTAAAAGCATTGCATGGTGCAGGTGAGTAGCCGTTACGATAGGCTTGAATGGCTGCTTCAACACACATGTAGGAACAGGCAATGACTTGAATAGGGTTGTACACGAATTGAAATGGGCTTGTCTTGATAGCAGGGATCCCGAGTTTCATGAATGCCTGTTTTCGATAGAAAAAAATGTTAAGAGAGAGAGAGAGAAGAAGAAGAAGAAGATGGAAGACATGTACACACCGTGCCAAAGATGACAAAGAGGAGGTACCCGATACAAATGATGTAGACACTTGCAAAGTTGGCAAGTGGATAATCAGCCATGGGATGAACCTTCCAACCACCTTGAGGGTCGACCCAGTCTAGAAGTTTTGTTTCTGTTGCGTTCGCCCATTCGTAATAACTCTGGAGCATTTCAGCCGACATGGTCTTGATTGATTTCCTGGTATATGACTGAGGTAGAGCAAGCAAAAGCACAAATGAGGAGACTGTTGTAGTTCCACCACCAACGATAGAAGCACCACTTTATGTGGTTATGGGATCTCCAAATCCAGGTTCTGTCCGGTCGTTCCTATACTGAGGTCAAGACCATCGGTTTCGAAAGGGCAAAAGGACCGACCAGCTCATCGCTGATGAATTTCAATCCCGAGTTATGATGTCATGTATCAACATCAGTGGAAGGTCGACACTGTCATCAACATCATGGACCCCTTCTACAAAAAGTCTTTTTATCTTATGAATGATGCCGAATCTATCGACGTAAACAAGTAGAAGCCCCCATTGAAAGGAGAGTGTTTCTTCTATCCATTAGATTGCCCAACCCACTATCTGTCGCAAGCGATTACAAATGCTACTTACTGGATGCTCGCCTTCCCTTAACCATTCCTTAAAGACAGCTTCATTGTGTCAATTAGAAGAATGTTACATGTAGTTGAATGATAATCTTTGCTTTGTATTAAACGTCTTTCATTCGAGTACTGCTTGTTGAAGTGCTTGGCTCGGTACTTCTTCGTTTCAAATGGGTTAAAGGTTCTTCTTGATTGACAACGTCTTGTGTGGACGAAGGACATATGAACGTACGTAAAAGTTCACGAATAACCAAAAGAGAGACTGCACGTACACTAAATAGATGAGTGGGATCATCGGAGGGATGCCAGGGCATTCACGTGAGTACATGAGGTAGCCTTGTACGTTCATAGTCATGAACTGGATAATCTGGAGAAGAGTCAAGTAGCGCTTCCACCAAATATTACGAGTGTGTGCACTCACAAAGTAGTACGTGTACATGATAGTGTGGACGAATCCATTGAGCACAACGGATGCATACGAGTCCCCGTCCTGTGCCACACGAAAGACGATGTAGTATATGACGAGTACCGAGAGGTGATGATAGACGTGTAAGAATGACAATTGACGCCACTTCTTGCCAACGATAATAAAGACTGTGTCGCACATATCCAGCATCTTGGATAGATAGAAGAGGTATAACACATTGCCCATGACCGGAGCATCAGCCTTAAAGACATTGCATGGTGCTGGTGAGTACCCGTTGCGATAGGCCTGAATGGCTGTCTCCATGAACATGTAAGAGCAAGCGATAACTTGGATCGGGTTATATATGAATTGAATGGGACTCGTCTTGATTGCAGGAACACCGAGCTTCATTAAAGCCTAGTACCGTCGGTCAAGAAAGCAGGATACAAGTCAGAGAAAGACAAGGCTTTCTAGGAAGAATCAATGGAATGAGAAAACGCACCGAACCAAACACGACAAAGAGCAAATAACTGCTGCAAATGGCAAAGACGCTAGCAAAACTAGCAAGTGGATAGTCTGCCATGGGATGAACCTTCCAGCCACCTTCAGGGTCAATCCAGTCGAGTACCTTGATCTCCGTGATATTTGCCCATTCATAGTACTTCTCGAGCAATGTCATCGTCATGATTCCTGCTTCTCTGCGTCTAGGTAAAACTGCAAATGAACGCAATTGTGGGCACGTTGACCTTAGTACTTACACGTGTGCTATCATACAGATCGTGGCAGCAGAAGACATGCTTTGTATAGTCCCAAAAACCCGTTGCCCGAGCACCAATCGTGGATGATTGACAATATCATCCAAAGACGGCGGAGTCATGTCATAGAGCCAAGGCAAACGTGACGAGAGACCGATGTTCTTTCCATCTTCATGGGCAAAGCTTTGCGGGTTCACTTCATGTAGCGAGCGACAATAATACTGGGACTTGTATGATTCGTGCAAGACACCATTATAGTCTTGCACATGTTCGTATAAAGCAAATGCATCGTGTGCTTTCACACGAACGTCGACATTGAGACGATCCGTGGCATTTAGTGCAATACGGTAATGAAGGTGCACTTCAGCTTTGACAACACAAATATGTGCCTTGTTCAACAAAGCTGATGGTACAGTACTCAAGTATGCAACAACTTTGTCGCTGTAAGTGCATCACTAGATTTAACGGGTCATCGCTGTCTATCGGAAAGTCAGCAGACCAATTGTTCGATCGTGGGAGACGCTAAACATTGCGTCGTAGCGTGGATGCCACGTAGCATGTAACACCGTCTTGTCTAAATACATGAAAACACCAAGCAAACACGCGTTAGAATACATCGATGAGCTCATCAACCAACAGCAAGAAACTTACGATGCACACGAAGAGCTTGCTGGGGTTCCACTGTAGGAAACTTATCCCCCCGCATACGCACGTCCCAAATATTCACAACACCCGTCTTGCTACCACATGATACGTGATAGCCTGCAGGCGACCACCGCGGCACGACGTACTGACTCATCGCGCCACTCTCCCACGTCAACGACATCTCATTGCCATCGTATCGCTGACGAAGGTCATGCAACAACAAGCTGTGCCTAGTCTGCTCCACACAACTGACCAGAAGCAAATTCGGATTGTGTGGATGCTCTAGGACCGAGTTGATCTTCGAAATGTTTGGCTTACGACGTTCCAACACGGTTTCCGTACGCCCCTTGTTCAAATCGTACCGGACCAACAGGCCATCAAGACCACCAGTGTACAAGCAATCACGCTTGGAATGAACGCAAAGCGATTTAACTTCACTACGATGGTCGCGGTGCAGCACGGTCCACTTCAGATCCAAGCCACCGTTCTGTCTATTCTCGTGTTCTTCCCACAACACAACAGCGTGGTCTGAATTGCCCGTAGTAATCAGTTGACGGCTTGTGGTCTCAGGCCCATTGTCACTTGGCAGCCAGTCGATTGTAGAAATACCTCTTGGATGTAATGTAGTGCACTTCGAGGTGATACGGTTACCCGGAAGTGATTGCGATGTTCGGCTATCTTCAAGCTTGAGCTGGTGAAGCTGCACAATGCAGAACTCTCCCTTTTCGTTCACAGGATCACGAAATGCCATGGCCATCCGGTTTCCGTCTGGGCTCCAAGAGATGGCTTCCGCACACGGACTACCCTCGCGGAACGATGATGGCATCAAAGTCACTACCTTAGCGATATCTTGATCCTGGCGTTGATAGCTCCATAGGATAAGACCCCCCTCGTCGGGGCTTGTTGCAAAAATTTGGGGCTGAATCGGGTTAAACGCTAGGTGCCGTCCTTTGCGAGCGCTGCCATCCGGAATTGCCCGGAAACGGTGATTTGCCAAAAGCTTTGGTGTTGGGGATCGACCCCAAAAATGGTCGGGCATTGAGTCTTCAACCGGCACGACTGCGCTCTTTGGCACTGCAGCACTACGCTCTCTCTCCATTTTTACTTCACTCGGATCCAAAATGACAACTTCATCATCAGTACCGTCATCATCACTACCTTCATCGTCTTCATCCACAATACAAGGGCGTTTGGAAGTACGAGATCGACTACTTGATCGCTCACTTTCACGTCGTTTACTCTTGCTCCTTGACCTTTTCAGAGACTTTTTGTCTCGAGTACTAGCAGTAGAATGCGAGGGTAAACGTCGTTCTCTACGTTTCCGTAATGCATCCAGATCTACTTGAAGGTCGTAGACCTCCAACTCTTTGGCTTCGACGCGTTTGCGTAATTTTGCCAATTGTTTCTTCAGTTCGTCTAATTCCTTCTTCTTTGGTTTTAGTTCTTGCTCCGTGTCTGCAATAGCACTTTCAATTTCCGCAAGGCTACTGCCACTTTGACTGCTACATCGGCCACTACGGGACGAATATCTCGAAACATTCTCTTGTTCATCACTAGAATTAACAATTCTCGAACATCGAGAGGAACGAGTACGACTCAAAGAACGTTCTCTTTCTCGTTCCTGCATCTTGTGTTTCAAGTGTTTCCGTCTGCTTTCCATTGTCCTGCTAGACGTAGACAAAGACGTCTCTAATTCCTTCCGGGAACCTAATGATGCCCCACCACCACTGCGTCTTGTCACTGAACTTGAACGTTCTCGACGACTCGACCGTGTGTCTCGTTTCTTCTCACGTGTTGAAGATTTTGACCGTGTACGGGTTGAAATAGGTGACGGATTGCTTCGTTTAGGAGCTATGGACTTGGATCGAGGTTCCCATTGACGAGGAGAGCGAGATCTTCCTCTACCTCCAGATGGACGATGATAACTCTTCGTATTTGTATGGAGTCTATTATATGCAGTAACTGTTCGATTGCTCCCAAGAGGAACAAGAAGTTCTTGACTTGTCATTTTATGCGACATGATACGGGCATGAGACTTGGACTTGGTATGCAAAGAAGCGATTGGACGAGAAGGCGAGAGGTGACGACGACGTTTTAGTGTTGTATCTCCACGTTGAAAATCAGCGTCCGGGATTGAAAAGGCACGAGCGGGGCCACGGTTTGCATAGCGTGAAGTTGACCCGCCATAATCTCGATACGAAGTCATGGAATTGAGAAATGGCGGGAAGGGGACGGGGACTGATTGACTGGAGAAGACTTGGAGGACGATCATTGGTGGAAATGAAGATGCCCCATTGGTTTGTTATCATATCGTAATATATATGGGGTATGTTATATTGACTAAAGAGTAAGGGCTAATAAGGTGTAATTTTATAGAGTTGAGCTAAATATACACATGCTGATTGAAGACATTAGGCACTGCGCTCTGGTTTGGTTTCTATACTATTGCGTCATTCTCAGGTTCAGTATAACCATGGTGGAATTGGGGGTCTCGTTTTTTTCTTATGCTTCTAGATAACTGTTCACAGATTATTTGTCTGAAAATTGTGAAAACACTAGGTATTAAGGACTGGTAGCCTGTCTTAGCCGAACTTTTAATATGAGCATCTTGAACAACATCTTGATCACATGAGTCGCTGTACAATCGTGAACTGTACATTGACGCCGATGAAAAAGTATTTTCCAGTGACTTTTTTCTGGCAGAGATACTGCACGCTAAAAATATTAATGTCTACTAGTTCTTCGACCCATCCGATCTAGCGGTCGCAGTGCTGTATATCGCAGCTAGCACAGTATAAACAAACCGCTGTCATGCGTCAAATTATTAGCAATCGATGTCGTGCTAATGAACAAATGGGGCAATGAATGCGTGATGAACTGCAATCATAGATTCGACAACAATGAACCCATTTCTGGTTGATGCTCAAGTTCATCATTTTTAATAATTAGAAGCTTGTCATCTCACACGGCATCTGATCTGGGCGTCTACGAAATGCTAGAATCGGTCATCTATAACTATAAAATGCACTATCTGATACTGATACTGTCTTATCTGATACTGTCTTATCTGATACTGTCTTAACTAATACCTTTTCCTAACTGCTAGAATATTTGGTCCCGCCCAGCAGTAAAACTGCACCAAATGATACTGCGTTACTTAATATCTTATCTTAACAAATAAATAATCCTCCAATACCGAGAGAATCACTTTAGGCAAGTTCTTTTGTATATAAAACCTGGTTCTCAGATCAAACAGTAAACAAAGAAGGGAAATTGCTGGGCCCAAAATGCGACATACCCCACTACTTGGCAACGTCACAGCTTTCTTCCAGCAAAAATCAAGCAAAACAACGACACCAGAGGGTTCGCAATAACAACAACTCAACAGGATGCAGTCCCGTCGTGACACAATATGTGTAATAATAATCAATCAAAAGCTAAAACCTATGATGATGCCTTTCCATTGGATAGGAAATACCACCGAGTCTTTTTGCCAAGGTAGTCCTACCCCCATCTCAGTATAGGTCTGGGGGTCAAGACCGTCTCATTTCTACTCACTTTCTGAACGTCCAGTTTCTGACGTTTCGTAACATATGGTAAATAGCAATACCCTATCCCCCATAGAAGTAGTAAATCGTCGTTTAATACTTAATTTGCTCTCTCGGAGCCTCTAAAACAAAGTCAGTTTCCATACGAACCGGGTCATTCCCCCCCCCCCATTCCTTCCTTCACCTGGCATTGTTGGGAGTGACTCTTCTCTTCCCATCAGTATATGCAACGTAAGACTGCAGCTTTTGAGTGTACTCCCGTCCACTCTTCGCTGGAAATGAGCAGTGAAACGACGGATTTTGAGCGTGTTCCGCCTGACGGGACCGGTGGTTTTGTTAAAATTGGTGGTCCCCTTCCCGACTCGTCTGATCCACGAGCTATTAAAGGAGCTGCTAGTGCTCCTGGTAATGGTCATCGTCTCTTTTACTTGCGTGTCATTGATTCGCGCAAATGGCATTATTCGGAAACATTTGCGCTATTTCTTGACTTTTTTATGCAAGTTTTGACCATTTCGTTTTCACAAAAAGACTCATTTCATGATGAAGTACCGGCAAAAGCATCGCGTTACTTTTCATCCGGTCTCATGTTGTGTTACTTCATTGACATGATTATTCGAATTTTGGGGCTACGATTGGCATTATTTCGATCGCATTCCAATATTGCCGACCTTTTATGTCTAGTGACAATGGTGGTGCTTCTTGGGTCACGATATTTCATGGATGATAAAGAATATTGGCTCTGTCTTGGCTATTTGACAATTGTCGCACTTCGACTGATTCTCAAGCCACGAGCACGAACGTTTTCCAAGAAATTGCACAAATTTCGGACCAATGGGGACCATATTCGAGTCAGTATTGAATCTTTGAGGGCTTCACTTGCACGGATTCCAGGCATCTCTGCCATGTCAATTGAGATGATGGAGACGGATCTGGTCATTATCTGTGGACGAGATGAAGGGGACATGACACGTGACGAGCTCATGAACTTTTTAGAACGTGCACTACACTACCGTCCCCCGAATCTCTCGGCGACAGAATTTTTGTCCCATTTGCGTGACATTGACGCGTCATCGTCGACACTAGCTTACGGGATTTCTGACGTTGTCCGGAGTACATTGTGGCATTGGTCCACGCAAATGGCAGATCTTATTTTCTGCTTCTTTGTAGTGTGTATTAACGCGTCAGTGAGTCCAGCATTGGCTATTTTTTTGGCCAAATTGTCGGATGCTTTTGATACGTTGGATACGGGCACCCCGAATGAGTCTACACTCAAATTTGGTGTCGTGGGGGTCCTGACACTATGTGTACCCTTTGTGCTGGGTGATTACGCTGTCGGTTATTTCCAATCGAAAATGATTTCAAAAGCTACGGAATTGATGCAATCTGAATTGCTCAACATTATCCTTCGTCAGGACACGAGATTCTTTGCAGAGCGTTCCGAAGGTGATTTGAACAATCTGTTTTCAAGTGATGTCGCGCGTGTAAACGCCTTGTGGCAGGCTGTATTCTGGAATCTGCTGAACCCGCTTCTGGCTGTGATTTTCGGTTTTGGTTACGCTTTGTATATGGACGTCAGCATTGGTATCATGTCGTTTACATTCACTGCAGTACTGCTTTCAAGTGGTCCGCAAGGCTTTGCAGCTCAGCGATCAAAGGAGTTTGGATCTAGGAACGCGTACGTTGCTGCCGAGTTCCAGAATGCTGTCGGTTGTGAAAAAGTAGTGCGTGCTTACGCTATCCAGGATCCGCTCATTACACGTTTTAAGAAAACGTGCGCGTCACTGCGCAAGAGTCAGTTTTCGAAGGACTTCTGGTCGAGTATTGTGCAGATTTACATTGAGTCGGCAATGTACATTTTTGTGGCTATTATGACTGCCTCATTGGCGATGAAGGTGTGGCACAAGGAATTATCATCAGGCGAATTCTTTGGATTCATTACGCTATTGAGTCGTGTTTCGAACCCTGTTACTGTTCTCGGTGGTTTTATGCGTGTGGCCATCGGTAACGCTAGTAGCTTACAGCGTGTGGATGACATTATTGTAGGCTTGGGATCGAGCACTGGTGAGGAGGATAGTAGTGGTAAGGATATGCCTCCGCTCCCTAAGATGAAACAGGATCTTCGCGTTGAGAAACTTGTGTTCAAGTACGACAAGGCATCGGAGAACTACATCCTGAACGAATTAACTGCAACTATTCCTCGTGGATCCTACACGTGTGTCGTCGGACCGTCCGGTTGCGGAAAAAGCACGCTGCTAGCGTGCTTGATGCAGTTTCAGGAAGCTGATGGCGGTTGCATCCGCCTGGACGGCCATGACATTTTCAACTTTTCCAAGAAATCGTTCATGGATCAGACTGCGGTTGTATTCCAAGATGGAGGTATTCTCAACGGTACTATCTACGACAACATCCGCTACGGCAACATTAACGGTTCCAACGCCGACTGCGAAGAGGCTGCCCGTCTTGCTGAGTGTCACTTCATTAAGGAACTTAAAGACGGTTTTCAGACGGTGGTGGGTCAGCACGCAACTTGTAACTTGAGTGGCGGCCAGGCACAACGTATCTGTTTGGCACGTGCACTTTGTCGTCGCCCAAGCCTGTTGTTGCTTGATGAGGCTACGAGCGCTCTGGACCCTGAGACTGAAGCGTCGATCGTGTCTACGCTGGAACGCCTCTCGGGCAAGATGAACATGACTATCATCTCAGTGACGCATCGTTTATCCACGTCCGTTAATGCCGACCAGATTCTTGTGCTTAATGCAGGACGTGTAGCAGAAGAGGGCCGTTATGATGCTCTGGTGCAGAAGGGTGGACTCTTTTTCGAGATGGTTCACAAGGTGGATAAATCGGAAGAGGATGAAGTTTCTGATCCCATCGAGCAGACCGACATGGTATCAATGGCTAAAAGCCGTCGTCGTGGCATAGTACCACGCCGAAACGCAGGTACAATCGGGGCCACTGGGGAGGAACCGAAGCAGATGCAAGACAGTGTGTTGGCACTGCAGCAGTTTACAAAGACTTTGAGCTCACGTGTGGCGCACGACGTCGGTGACAGCAACCGTCCCGCCGGCACCACTTCATGGTACCGCTATGGCAATCACTCGCGAAAGACAAGTGAAGAAGGGTTTGCAAATCGCCGCTCAGGAAATAACAGCATGGAGTGTAGCCAGTGGTATCCTAGCCATGACAACCGGGGTGCGGCGTCTTCAGCTGCCAGCGAGGAAGAGCGTAACAAGTACTTCGTGTTGTAAACAGCATCACTTTTTTTTGCTAATTTCCAAACAGCTGCACTGACGCCGTGCTTTGGTGTCAATGTTCGTCCGTGTACAGATAGGCTAGCAGCATGATAGCTACAAGACCCACCTGGCCAGAATCGTTTGCCGATAGTTCCGGTGACAGCTTCTTCATAGAAGGAAGCGTTGAAGAGACCTTCGAAGCCCCGACACGGCGGACGTAATGCATTTTATGTGATTTGATACTTTTGTCTGCTGGTATAACCCTCAATAAACAGACCCCGAGGTAACTGCAAACAGCAACAACTACATAACAACCAGTCATTACATTTAACGCCAGCATTAAGCGGCCACGGCCACGGCCACGGCCACTTCTTCTTAGAAGCCCAACGTAGCACGCCCATAAAACTGCTCGTCCTCTTCGGGCAAAGAGTCTTCAAGCCCGTCGAGATCGAACTCCTTCGCTTCTTTGCCATCGTTGCGGGTTGACGCCTGTTTGTCGTGTGTTGACCGTGGTGGAGGTAGTGATGGGGCAGCAGCATTGAGTAAATAGGCGTTTGCAGCACGTAGAGTTTTCACCCAATTGTTTAGCTCCTGTGGGCTCTTCGTGAAGAAATGAGACTGCTGCTCATCTGTACTCAGCACAAACTCCTTTCCGTGTCTGAGGTCGTCTGCAAGAACCTCAAAACTCTTCTCAGCAAGGTTAATTTCACCGCGTACGACTGTGTCACCACGACGCTTGTAATATTTGAGGAACCCATCGGTCGTAATCACACACCATCGCTCACGGGCACCACGCATGGTCTTCATGCCACTGATGAGGCCGCGGTCGGCCCATTCCGTTGGACCCTTATCCAAAAAGCCACTTAGCATCGGCATCTTTGCTGCACGTGAGCTGCCCGTAGTGTCAGTGCTTGTGTCAGGTGTTGGTGGACTCAAGTTGTGCTTGATAGTCGACCCCGACTGCTTCGATTTCTTAGAGGCTGACGACGATTGCTGACGATGTAATGCGGTTGCAACCTCCGCCGACACCTTCTCTTTACCAGCAGACTCAGATCGCTTGGGCGGTGCTCCTGGTTTGCCATGAGTTTTAAGTCGATGGAGCTCGTCCTGTGCATCCTTCAGCTCGTCCTTGATCTTTTGGCGCCGCCGTTGACACTCCTTGGCCAGCTTTTGGTCACCCGACTGAGCCGCCTTCGATAGGGTATCCACCACGGATCTCTGTTTCTTACGCAGCTCCAATATCTTCGCTTCAAGAACAGCAAACTCCGACTTGGGCTTGTCGGTGCTATTGCTGGTACTACTCGTCTTATCATTTTGACCACCCGAGGTGTGCGCATTCTTGTCCTTGTCATCAGTCTGCGATTGGTGAGAGGATGACGAAGAGGGCAAGGAGCTGAGTCCTGGCTCCTCAATTCCAAGACTGGCGTAGTGCTTCGTGAGCTGCTCCATTTCTTTTTGTACCTTGTTGGTCTTGCGCTGCTCCTTGTTTAGTTCGTCTTCAAGCCCACGTCTCTTCTTCTTCAATGCCGACAGTTGTTCCTTAGGCGGGGCCGAGGGTTCAATTCCGAAAATATCCTCCTCCGGTACGCGATCCTCCTCTTCATCTTTATCCTTCTTTTCCACACTTGTAAGCTGTTTTTCCAGTCCATCTAGCTGCGTCTGCAGTGTATCCCTCTCTTTTCGCAATCGCTTATTGCCAGAGCTCATCTTGGAAATGTCGTCGTTCAGCTCCGTGTTTCGCTTGGCCAACTCATTAGCTAGCACTAGCTCCGGATTCTCCATGGCATGAGTTGCCTGAAGCTTGAGGTTTTTCATCATAACTTCGTACTTTTCCTTGTCACTTTTCATGACCTCGTTCTCTTTTCGCAGCTCCCTTCGTCTCGTATTGAGGACATCAAACTCACTCGACACAGTACTCCACTTGTGCTGCATGCGCGCCAATGACCGCAGCAACTTTTTGTTTTCAATTGTCCACATTTCAGTATGAAGCTCTCCAGTCACAAGTACACGCGTGTACTCTTTCTTCTGTTGCAAGTATGCAGTTGACTGTCCATATCCGGAAGATACTACATCATTCGTAGCACCAGTACTCACACTCTCTCCACCTGATTTCCGACCGCCATTCTCCTCCACAGTTCCCTTTTGTACATCAGCAAATTTAATACGTACTGGTCTCGATGCCGTCTTGAGTTTTTGCACCACTTCCTTATACGTTAATCCAGCTAGGGATGTATCTTCAATGCTAATGACTCTCATGCCAATCATCAGACGTTTATGAGCCTTGACACTCCAATTATGAAGCTCAGCAGGACCTGCTTTTCCATTGATTTTAGGTAAATCATCAACTTCCGCTTGAAATTGAGGATACAAAATTGTTTCCATCTGATGAACTTCTCGTAAACTCACCCCAAGTCTTCCTTCTTGAAAACAAATTTCCACTTCATTTATCCAATTGAAATTTTTTCGAATCTTTGCAATTGAGCTTTTCGTAGGAGGTGGAACCCATTGGGTCTTTCCAGCAGGTGAAATATAATAATAACATCCTTTTTGTGACTTGCTCTCTTTTCTCGTCCATCCAGGTGGTAATTTATCTTCCCCTTCAGGTGTTGTACTCCCCATACTTCGTCGACTTCCTCGAGTTTTAGTATGAGGTGCTGTATTTGATGCATTACTAGTGGATTTCTTTGTCTTGGAAGCTGTACTGGCCTTGGTAGAAGTCGTTGGCATGGTCGCACTAGTCGAGTGACCAGTCTTTTCGTTAATGTTGGGATTGTTGCGACTGTTTTTAGGTATTAATTTTACCATTTTATCGTTTTAACATTTTAGCAATACAAATATAAAACACAATAAAAACACACATTTAGGTTTTTGTTTTTAAAAGGAATCGAAAAAAAATAAAGTCGGTTCACGTCGATTTCAGCTTTTAAACCTTGCAAAGATCCGGTTCAAAGTGCAAAAACGTCACTTAAAACCATTTTAACATACCTCCACATGATTCAAACGTAGCCAAAACCGCCGTCTTGAATGAACAGTACTGCAATTTAAGTACAGTCGGTCGTCTTTTGTAAAGCTTGGTCGCTTTCTTTCTTTTCTTCACTCAGAGATCGCACTGTCACAGACAGACACCTCCGTTCCTTTTGCCTTTACTTGATTATTGCGTCATCCCCCTTACGAACCGAAGATTTCCGTTCAAGTACGAAACAATGCACCAATGAGTAATAGATACAAATATCTGATACGTCTGAGTCCTCATAGCCAAGTCGCGACGTCACATACGACTTGGTAAAGTGGACTCAGACGTATCAGATTTGTGCTACGGGACGCGTCGCATCCATTTGTATGCGAGGTATCGGTGCTGTGTCAACAGTTGCGGATGCTTCGGTAGTACGGTGTTTCATAGGCTTCTCCACTATTTCCTCAGCAAGTCTGCTCGCTGGCATGGTCTTCCTCAGGTCCTCTGCGACTCGTTTCCGGCATTTAGTACAGACTTGGCAAAGAATTGCACACCCGGCCCAACAGACTTGTCAGCTGATCGTTCTGGCAATTGGATGATTTGCATGTCAAGTGAGCTGTCGGTTGCTTTCATGGATATTGGACTCGGAATACTTGCTGCCTCACCTTGTGCTTGTCGTTTACGAACAACAATAAGTCTCTGCGAGCTCTGTAAAGGGCACAAAAAAGACCGAGTGCCTCTCCATGATGTCACCATACGTTTTCACTCGACGTCCGGATACAGACAACGCTGCAAGATACTCTTGGTCTCTGCATTTTTCCTACGAAACGCCCCATCGACTGGGTTCTCCCTTTACAGGAGCTGCAGTGTGGTCAACGAACGCTTCCTCCTTCACCGTCGACTGCTCGTCGTCCATGTTGATTACCGAAGCCCTAGGTGGCACCTTTTCCACGTTATACATAAATGACTGACTACCATCATAGCCTTGCACGGTCACATAGCTCAGTAGATGATTAACACATGAGCTCGTTCTCCACACACGTAAAAGTCCGTCGTATGATTGAACACACGCACGCTGCTGGCGTCCATTTTCAAGTTTCTCTATAAAGTACTCTATTTTAAGTGTCAGACCCAAAATACAGACACGTATGTGGTGTAAGAGACTCCATGACAAACAAACAGCTGATTCTTCTGCTTTTTTCAGATTGCGTAAACTGCTTCAGCTTCGAATTTCGACCAATCATGATGCACGGATCCAATTCACGTGACACCATGGCTGAAGATGCACCAAATGGCGACGGAAGACGCGAGGTGGGAGACGATGCAGTGTGGTCCCTGTCTTCCGCCAAACCCGGCAATGGTGTCGACCAACTACGTGACAGTGTGTTCTTACTGCATATAAAAGTGCAGTTTGTGGGTGATACTGATAGAAAACTTTCGCGTTTGACGGACAGACAATATGGACACGTATTGGCAGTCGGACGGAATGCAGCCACACCTGATTAACATCCAATTTGCCCGTAAGATGACCATTATGGAGGTGGCACTGTATCTGGACTATAAGCTGGACGAGAGCTACACACCCAAGAAGATTGCCATCCACTGTGGCTCTACAGTGCATGATCTCAAGGAGATCCACGTGCAACATGTTGCAGAGCCAAAGGGGTGGATCTCCATTCCTCTGCACACGGGTGAAGGCTTGGAACAGGTTCCTTTCTTGCTTCTACTGCTTTGATAGAAAAACTGGTATGACAAATTAAGGACAGCTAACTTGCTCGTGCATTCCTTGCTTCGCAGGCTCCGCTGCGCACATTCTTCTTGCAGATCGTCATCCATGCAATGCACCAGAACGGACGTGATACTCATATTCGACAGGTAAAGATCTATGCGCCACGCGAACCCAACGTTCTCGACTGGACCATCCCAGAGGCAACGACACCGCAGTTTGCAGCATATTCCTGCATTCGTTAACATCAACATTTGCAGAAGTTCCACAAGACGTACACGATCTTTCTGGCTCCAAGCATCAACCAGCATCCATTAATCGACCATAGATGTTCCATTCATTCACTGAATGGACAGATGAATGCCGTATCAACGACAAAGACAAGAACGACTGCACTCTCCCCTTTAACTTATACAGACGTCGAAGGGTCTCGATAGTTTGTCTGTTGTGCCGCATTCTTAAACCTGCCAAGCATTATCATCAGGTTATTAGTTGGGCTACTCCACTACTTCGCTCCATTGTAACAACTCGTACACTCCATTAAAGATTCGTGTCATATTCGTGACCTCCTCATCCGTACGTGCCATCTTCTCCACGTTTTGTGCTAGCAGCGCAATCGACGCATGCAACTCCATCATCTGCGCCGCCAAGTCCGCATAAGCCTGTACCTTTTCTTCGTCCATGTTTTCTAATGTATCAGTTAAGTAGCCTCGTACTTAACCCGATCCATAATGGGTACATACTGTACCCATCTTGTCATCCTTGACGTCGGTTGGTTGGTGGCTCATTCTTGAATTTGCCATACTCAATGAAGGACGAAGATAATTTTTGCCTATCAAAAACAGCCGAGAATCAACTCGTGCGTACACTGCGGAAGGAAGAAAGTGGCCGATCACGACATACTGGACGTGATGATCGTGCTACGACGGAGCAGGTGCTTGATCCACGTACACGTATGATCTTATACAAGATGCTGAACCACGGAATCGTTACAGAAATTAACGGCTGCTTAAGCACGGGCAAGGAAGCCAATGTATACCATGCACGGCTTCCTGATGGAAGAGAAGGTGCTATTAAAGTATATAAGACTTCTATTCTGGTCTTTAAAGACCGTGAAAAGTACGTTTCGGGCGAGTTTCGCTTCCGTCATGGCTATTCCAAGAGTAATCCACGTAAAATGGTCAAGCTCTGGGCTGAGAAAGAAATGCGCAATTTACGTCGCTTGAAAGAGTCTGGCATTTATTGTCCAGCACCTATTCTATTACGCTCTCATGTGCTGATCATGGACTTTATCGGTCATGATGGCTGGGCGGCTCCCCGTCTCAAGGACGCCAAGATCAGTGACATTCGTTATCGAGAATGCTATCTCTATTGCATTAAAATGATGCGTACAATGTACCAAAAATGCCGTCTTGTGCATGGAGATTTGAGTGAGTACAATATTCTATACTACCAGACAAAACTCTACTTTATTGATGTGTCGCAGTCTGTAGAGCACGAGCATCCAAGTGCCAATGACTTTTTACGCAAAGATTGCCGCAATATTGCAGACTATTTCCGCAAAACTGGCGCGCTTAATCCCATGACTACACAGGAGCTGTTCGACTTTGTCACGGACCCGCGTATTGCTGAAGAGGACTTGGACGACTACCTTAACGAGATTCAGCGCAAAATTGCAGACCGACCTGTGGAGCGCACAAATCAAGAACAAGTAGATGAAGCTGTGTTCATGAACACGTTCATCCCTCACTCACTCGGTGAGGTACTTCACTCGGAGCGAGAGCAGCTTGCCTATCAAGATGGAACGATGGAAAAAGCATTGGTGACGGCAATCTCGCGCCTTGAAGTTCAACGGAAAACGACTTCGCCCGCTCCGGCCATGCAGCACACGCGTATCATGGACCTCTTGAACGAGCAGGATGACCAAGAGCTTGATTCTAGTGACGATGATGGTGATGACGATGGCGATGACAATGACGGCGATAGTGACGACGATTCTGACAGCGAATATGATGACGAAGATGACGAAGAAGGAACGTTGCTTTCTGGAACTGAACCGCTGACAGACGGACAGCGAGCTGTATATCGGCTTCAAAAGCGTGACGAACGTGAAAAACAGAAGGCGCTAGATAAGTTGAACAAGAAGGCACGCAAGCTGGAAACCAAAGAGGAGAAGAAGGCAAAGCGACAGACAAAGATTCCGAAGCATATCAAGAAGCGCCACAAAAAACTTTCTCACCAAAAGAATAAAAAGTAATGGAGCAACAGAGAACAACGTCCTGTAGACATTCCGCATTATCTTTTTCATTGCTTAGTCCAGAGGTCAAAGAAGGCGATGATCAACAGGTAGGCGTCAACTAGTTCGAAGTAGATATGACCCATTACTTCTAACTGGTCTTGACAACAACAAGACCAATATCCGATGTCAACGCAAAGCACGAAGAAACTATCATCTGCAGTACAAGCCGTCCTAGCTGGAGTCCAGATTCTGGACAATCTAGTATGCGTCCTCATTGCGTCACGTCGGCGTCATTGCTCGCACGAGTAGTCTGGCCTTCAACCTTCTGTTGTGTCTGTGATGCTGAGGACCGTTCTAAAAGGTCCGTACGCGTAGAGCGACCCCCTCGTAGCATTTGAGCGGCCCAACGGCCAATTTTTCGTCGACGCTGGTGTAACGCAATAACAGAATAGGCCAACACATATCAGTACACCTAAAGTGATAACGCTTTCTATTCCCGTGTACTCTTTGTCGTGGACACGTACATGGATATAGACAGTAGCAAGTCCCCAGCTCATCGTGAATTTGACGCTCTTGATCACTTCAAACAGCCCTGTGCGCAATACATGCGTTGTCGAGATGAAAAACGCGCCCTGCTTGAGCTTCTCTGCTGCCAAAGATATCTGAGTCCATTCTCTATGGAAAGAAAACACATTGACACAGTTAACATCATACATGGAAACCCTATCAACCACTTTCAAATCTTACTTGTCGTCGAAGCACGTGCCGTGACAAAAAACGACGTCACCATCCTCCCATTTGGATGTCAGCAAGCTGCCTGTAATGAAGTCAATGTCCGTCTGCAAAAGCGGGGTCTTGAGCTTCTCCAAGGCAACTTTACGCTTCTCAGCACAGTGAACTAGAGGCTGTAGATGATTATGTGACCACGCAACTAGTCAGAAAAATAGCACTGTAGGATAAACCAGAGCCAGAATGTCGACCCAACCTCAAACAACTCAATTCCAATTGCCTGCTCAAAAGGATGTACCAAACTTGCCGCAATTACTGCCTTGCCAATGCCAGATCCCTATTAGTTTACAACGCATGCAATAGGGACACGAAGTCCAGTTAAAGAATATTGTGCCAGACAGACCCGTCAATCATTTCAACAACAACACACCAGATCATAGAAAGTAGCAAACTCGGGTAAGAATGGAGCGACCCAGCGGATGATATCGGCAAATGGAAAGAATTGAATTTCACCGTAGACCTGAACCATAACGAGTAGCAAATGTCTCGGGAGTATTAAAAACTTCGTCCAACATACGTGAAAATTACTGTGCATTGAAACACAAGTATCACGTACATATGAAGACTTGATCAAGTTTGAGCTTTTTCGAGCCTCGCTGGATAATTCCTTGGCGTACTGGATAAATGGATATTATCCAAATAAACGTTTTATCAATTGTATCTCTATAAAGACCAAAAGAGCGTCAAAAAAGGACAACTCACCTCTGCCCCAAAACCGCGATATACTTGCTCAAATACCGCAAACGGTTTTTCAAAAATCATTCCCAGGACAAAATCGGATACTTTTAGTTCCGCAATTTCTTCACGTGTTACCTGATTTTAATATCACAAAACCGGTATATCAATATATATCACAAAACCGGTATATCCGTATCTCTCCGTATGTAGCCAACCCTTACTTCTGGCACCAGTCTCTTGATTTCCTGCAAGACACCACTACCTCGTAGCTCCGCTACTCCTTCAGCCGAACATAACATTAATTCCACTTGTTCACGAGCCTCCAGTGCCTTTTTCTCCACCTAAAAGCCAAAAGAATTCAACTTCATAAGTATTGAATTGTGTTAGTGCAGGATTCGCGTCCAATCACTGATCGACGCAAGTCTATAATAATGAAAACGATATCAAACCTGTTGCCACATTTCATCAGTCGGTTTATAGTATCGAAGCCGCGGCGCGAGCTGCTTGAGCTCCGCCATTATCATGTCCAAGCTCGTTGGCATGATTATCAAGTGAGCCTTATGATACTGTCATAATACCGGTACACTACCCCTTTTCTTAATAAAGCATAAATGTGAGCTCTCTATCGTCGAATATTATTACACAGAGAATTATCTTGAAATACCGGTAATTAAAGTTGTCGTCGGCGTTTTTATACGGCAAACCCTATCATTTCTATTTCGCTGGTCATTGTCAACTTTACCAAGTAATTTTGGAATCCAAATACGATATTTGTCATTGATTTTGGATTATTTTACTCGGCGATGGCAAGTGAGAGCATTATAGACGGCGAAAGCTGCAGCGAGAAACATTTCTTCAAGGAACGTCAGTTGGTGTGCGATCTTCTACAAACGCTGATACACACGCGGCTACCGACATCTCAAAGCGATGTAGACGATGACTTTATAGCTGCTCACTCTGCAATCACTCAAATTGTACTGTTTTTTATTCGCTACTGTTTCTTTTTTTCATTCAAAAAGACCTAATTTTGATTCGTTTCCAGTTAAATAGGTACCTCGAACAGTCCCATTTACTAGACCCTTATCTACAGGACATACTGGACCCCATTATGAAGGAGATTAAACGTATCATGGCTGAAAGAAGCGACACAATTGATGACGCAATGAACTGTCAAGTGTATCGCAATCCAAAGCTGCACAAATTGTTTCAAATTGTGTATCATTTGTGCAAAGTACGAGGTTACAAGACAGTCGTGAAGCTATTGCCACATGAAGTGAGTGATTTTGAGCCAACGTTGCAATTGTTACAGTCTCAAGACCGTGCGGACTATTCAATGTGGGAAACACGATACGTGTTATTGCTGTGGTTGTCGATGCTTTGTCTCGTACCTTTTGACCTCAATACCATTGATTCATCGACTTCCAACGACTCGACTGAAACAATCGTGTCCAATATTGTGACACTTTGTAAAGATTATCTCAGTGATCCAGGAGCTACTCAGATTGCAGCAGCAGGTTGTCTATCACGACTGCTTAGCAGACCAGATATGGAACAACAATATCTAATGCAATTCCTTCACTGGTCAAATCAGGAGCTCATTATGGCGTCTAATGACATCGATATGCCGGTCTTGCAATTTAAAGTGACTGGAATTATGCTCTGCCTTGCTCATATTGCAACCAACTCACCCCGGGAGCAGCATATTGCGGCCAGTCGTATCTATTTTGCCTCCATTATGCGGCTAGTGGCTCATCTCACAGAGAATAACGCACGATCGGACCATTCAAGTAGCAGCACTTTGCATCGCAAACTGAGCGTCAAGATCGTACAACGCCTAGGGCTACTTCATTTGCCACCAAAGATCCGTTCATGGCGCTACAGCCGTGGCCTACGATCATTGGAGCTTAATGTGAAGTCGTTGGGTCTAGCTGAGAGCAACACAGTCATTTCCACCGCGCAAAATAGTCAGGGAGATGGTGCTGACAACGATGACGACGATGATGCTTTCGAAGTAGTGGAGGAGATGGAGCAGATAGTTGAGGTGCTTCTGTGCGGATTGCGCGACAAGGATACAGTGGTGCGCTGGTCGGCAGCTAAGGGTATTGGGCGAATCACTGGTCGATTACCGCACGAGTTCGCCGACGATATTGTGCAGTCTGTGCTCGAACTCTTTGTGGCTACGGAGGATGATGGGGCGTGGCATGGTGCGAGTCTGGCACTGGCAGAGCTTGCTCGTCGTGGTGTCTTGCTACCTCAGCGCTTACCGGATGCGGTGGAATGTGTGGCGAATGCATTGAAGTACGATATTCGAAAGGGTACATACAGTATTGGCTCTCATGTCCGTGATGCTGCTTGCTACGCGTGCTGGTCATTTGCACGCGCGTACGAGCCCTCACTGCTACTGCCTTGGCTGAGACAAGTCCTCGCACCAGCAATGCTGGTAAACTGCGTATTCGATCGCGAGTTAAACTGCCGTCGCGCTGCATCTGCAGCTTTTCAAGAAAATGTTGGCCGGCAGGGTCGTACCAACTTTCCAAGTGGTATTGATTTGCTTACCAAAGCAGACTATTCTTCAGTGGCGAATTTACGTCACGCGTACCTGGACGTAAGTGTCTTCGTCGCGAAATATCCGGAATATCGATACCCGTTACTGGAACATCTCATCAGTTCTAAGATAGTTCACTGGGACGTCCAGATCCGTGGTCTTGCTGCTGCTGCGCTAGGTAAGATCGGTGCATTGGATCCACCACATGCGATGACCCGCTTGTTTCCGCGACTGCTTGAATTTGCCCTCTCTCCAGATGTCGAAGTAATCGTGCGACATGGTGCTGTTATCAGTATTGCGGATTTACTCATGTGTCTGGCTCAGGTCCCTGTGTTTATTGACGGGGAGCTGCAAAAGAAGGTCAAGATGCTGCCAATTGAGATTGATAGGCGGCGTCTGTTCCGTGGACGTGGTGGTGAGGTCATTCGAGCTGCTATTTGCAATGTGATTGAAGCGATATCAAATTCTCGATTGAGTCTTGGTTTTGCTCATGTGAAGAAATATTTGTCGATGCTTGAAGAATGCTTTGTGCACCCTAATGAAAGCGTTCGTGAAGCTGCTATTGAAGCTTTCGGTGCTATTACTGCACAATACTGCCCCAAGATATTTGAAAAAGGCAGCCCCCCACACGTAAAATACATGCAAGAACTGATGCCACGATTCGTCAACTCAGGGATCATGGTGACATCTAAAGAGAACGGTGTGTCCGTCAAGGTGTTGAATCCGAATGTTGCTGCACGGCAAGGTTTTCTGCGTGCTGTAGGTGTCGCTGCTAAGGAACTAGTCCAGCCTTGCCTGAAAGAAGTATTTGCTGCAATTTTTCGATCGATTACACTTCCGGAATGTCCAACAGAAGATGAGGATCCTGGAAGTCGAGTGGCTGCAGTTCTAGCTTTGGTTGATTTGTGTTCTCGGCCTCAAGGTGAGCTTGAGTTAAACGGCATGGAAGACGATGTTGTCCGGACATTCGTCCGATGTATCCATACCGATTATCGGGTGGACGAGCGTGGGGATGTGGGCTCCTGGGTCCGCAAAGAAGCCATGATTGGTATCGAGAAACTACTTCTTGGCGAAACCACACTCGCGCAAAAGCATAATTGTTGGCTTGTGGGCACGGCTGTGCAAACAAAGTATGGCCGGGGAGTAATAATTGATAGCTTATCAGATCGTAAACGCAAGAGAGAGAGAGCTGGCGAGGCCAGCGGTGCTTCTGAGCTCGGTCCGGTATGCTATATCAAATTTGAGAAGCCAGCTCTGGGCTATTACTACTTCGGTCCCACCGGAGTAGGCCTCCTTCGCGTGGAAAGTCTGCTACGAGAGGAAGCGGTCCAGTGTTTTGTACAAAGAGCTTCTTGCATCCCAGATTTAGCGCACTGCACGAAGATTGCAGAGCATACGAGACTGGGTCAAGCATCTTCGACGCCATTTGCTCGACGTTTATCTCCTAATACTGTTGGCATGATTGTACGTTTTTCTGGTGTTGCGAAAATTGTATACGCTAACTTTGTCGTCTCGTGTCATCTAGTTCGGAGCTCTTGCCAAGCAATTAGCTGAAAAGCTGGATAGCATGCGGATGACATCAGGAACCATATTATTTCGATTGCTTCATTCAACTTCTCCTCGCGTTGACGGCATTCCCGACCGCTTCCAGCTTGAAAAGATTTTTTCAGCAACTTTGACGGTGAACTGGTCCATGGCCCACGATACTTTTCCGTTAGTAGTGAAGATGATGGAGATACCAGAGTTTTTGGAGGACATTGCCGCGGGTCTCATCATCAGTGTCGGTGGTTTGACTGAAAGTGTCGTTAAGGCTTCAAAGAGTGCTCTTTTTGATTGGGTGCGCTTACGTTTGCAGTCAAAAGACTTCGGCTTGCTCAGCCGGTTCAGCTTTTTCTTAGTGACATTGCTGACTCGCCATCACCACGACGATCGTGTCACCATCTCACTTATGAAAACGATGGCACTGCTGCTGGAGTCCAATCTTCTGCGCTTTCTCTTCGAAGAACGCCAAACAAAAGATGGTAATCCTACAACATCAACAGACTTTGGAGGACGTCTGTATGATGCACTGCGTGACGAGATTCAGAAGTGTGCCGCGGTCCCAAAACTCAGTGCTGCGATAAATGTGCTGATTGGTTTACTGCCAAGTGACACCGAGACTGAAAGCAAGACCTTACGAGCTCTCATGTTGTTTCTGGGACACAAATTTCCAAAAGTCCGGAAGCTGACTGCCGAGAGGCTCTACACGCGATTGCTTGTACACGACGAGATTGTCAACGAAGAAAAGGTTGGTGAAGGTAATGAATGCATTGAAATGGTGCCCAGGACTCATTGTTTCGTATGGTTTCTTACTGCAGTACGACAGCGTACTCGAGATCTTGAGTGAGACCGCATGGGACGCTTCGGTATGTCATAGCTCTGCAAACGTCGATGTGAGTATCTAACAATGAGTAACTCGTCTCGTGTATGCGTGCATACAGATTTCTCAAGTACGCATCGCTCGAAATGAGTTGGCGAAACTTTTTGGCATCGAGCTGTGCTTGAAGGAACGGTACGATTGCCTTTCTGTTTTGTTTTGCATGCCTTGCTTCGACCGTCAGTTTGATATGTTGATCCATTCGTATAGAACCGCGCCCGCAGAAAAAGCGATGTCAGAACTAGCAGCACAGGAACACCAAAGCTACAAGAACCTCATCAAGGAGATGGGCTATTAGCAAGTTGACACAAAAAGCATTTCTTATCATTTGAAGCACAGCAGCAATCTTTAGCGTCTTAGGTCTCGTACTCATGTTTGTTGGCACCAATATTTGTAGTTTTGTAAGATACTTTGACTCGGCCACCGGTAGCACCTCCACTAAGGTAAATGAAACAAATCATCATAAACCACGTGAATACCGGACTCCAATTTTTTTCTCCAGCGGTATAATCAAGCCGGATGGTTTCTTCGTTGCAGTGCCCCGAATGCACTGAAATACTTGATTCCATGAGTAATTCTTGCCTATCGTGCCCAAGTACATGTTGAGTAAATCTTGCTGCAGCTCACTCACGCGAGGCCCCGAAAATAGCAGACCCAGCTCTGTGTCATTTGGACGCGCACTCAGGCTGCGGTCGGCCAGATTCGAGGATGATCTTAGCGCGTACTTTCCGTCCACAATGAGGATATTGGAATGAACCTTAATCGATACACCGTCATGCTCGAGACGACCCACTTGAAGATGCTTCCACAGCTCATTCAACGTAAGACCGTAGTCTATGGCACACTCCTCCAGCTGCTCCAGCGACCACTGGATGGATAGTGAGCAGTATGAGCGTGCCAGAAATGACGGTTCATCTTTCTGGGCGGCGTTTGTCAGGATCAAAGCATAAAATGATTCACCCTTGTTGCGAGCTTGACTAATACGAGCAACAATCGCAGAACACACGCGGTTATGCTGCAGCGAGCCACCCGAGATCATGATTTGGTTCTCCAACTGCACGGAGTGCTTAGCGTTCATAATCATATTGACAATACAATTCTCTTCTCGCCAACCTCCAGATACAAGCGGAAACGGGGGGTATTCCACAAACTGATCATAGTAACGCTTCTCTGCAGGCTTGTGGTTAGACTGGACCCAGCTGACCATATCCGGGGTGCAGCGGCAGATAACACTGAGCTCGTGCCAATAGTACGCAAGATGATTCTTACGCAACCAGCCCTCACGCTCAGTATTCACGTCACAGCCAGTGACCATGATAGTTTCCTCATCAACGCACAGATACTTCTGGTGATGGAAAGCATACCTGGAATTGTTTGACAAGTAACGTGTAAACCAGCCCGGACCCAAGTCACTGACCGAGCAAGCGAAATGCACTTCTCGAGGCAAGATGCGACGCAGATCGGCAATCGAATCTGTTCCGTAGTCACGTACTGGGTTATACAAGATGTGAACATCAACTCCACGCTTCACAGCGTCACACACGAGCGACACAAATGTGTTGTCCATGTGCTTCTCATTTGTAGTGTCAAGAACCTGGGTAAAGTCACACAAGAATGTCGAGTAGTAAATGGACTTGCGCGCGGACACGAGAAGCTCCACAATAGCTTCTTGGCACTCGCGGAAATCACGACACACGCGCAATTCGTTCGTTGTCGATGTGTCACTCTCCGTGGCCCATTCCATCTGCTCAAATGTAAAATCGGTTGCAAGCCTTTTTTTCTCCTTGCTTTTATGATCCAACAGGACTGTATTTGAGCATCGGGCATCGGCACCGTTATTTTCCACGTCACCCTTGACGAGCAATACACATACACCACAGATCGTGATCATGATACCGCCCATGAAACATGTCAGTGCCGTAGAGCTATAGCTGGCCATCTCATTGTAAAAAACTAATCCACAGCTCAAATTGCCAATGATAATGAAAGCTTGATACAATGGAATGAATTTCAGCGTCCCAAAGAACTCGAGTCCCTTATTTAGGAAGAAAAGTTGTGGTACCAATGCACACGGGATCGCAATCACTAGCAGAATAAAGAACGGGTTCAAAAACACCAGCCAATCTTGATGTTTTCGTGCCGACTTGGCTACCTCCACCACCGATTTCGTGGCAAGAGATGTAAAACCTGCCATGATTCCAGCACAAGAACTGAAAGCCAATAGTGTGACTGGATGACGCTGTAAGTTCGCTATCCGCACTCGTCGTAGCAACAACGTTGCGTATGTGAGTACAATGACAGTGTAACCCAATGGAAACACCGAGTGTCTCGTCAATAGACGACCGAGAGACTTGAGTGTGTACGATTTCGGTGGGACATGAGCCAATTCCGCAGCGTAGAGGTCAACACCAACACCCACGATAATGAGGGCACTGGATAGTAAATCATAGAGTCCAAAGCTCTCATGGAGGACAAATCGACCCAATAAAGCACTGTAAATGAGCGTGAGTGCTGCAAATGGCGCCTGGATAGCTTGTCCAAGGATCCCGAGATTAATAATAGCTGAAATAGTGCCCATTATTAACAGCACAAGACCACCTAAGAAGGCCGTTTGCATTGTGGCGGTGCCTAGTGACGAGTCACGTGCGACACGCATGTGTGCGTATTTCTGACAACAATAGCCACTGGCAGATAGGAAACTGCCCAATAGGGAGTTGAGGATCCCAGCATAGAGATAAGCAGTCGAATCCACGTGAAGATCCAATAATGAGCCTACTACAAGCAATACGAGCCATACAAATGTGCAGAGGACCGAGAGAAATATCGCCAAGATAAACCAATGAGGGAGATGAGAGAGTGGGGAGTGAACAAGGCGTCGAGATGAAGGGATTGTGAGATGAGCATCCTTCTTGAGGAGCGGAGTGAGCTCGGACGCAGAAGTTAAAGGAGTGTTTGTCATGATGACAAACACCACGTATGAGATAGGACGCAAAAGGAAGAGTGATGGATGTTTGGAGAAATGAAAGATATGTGGAATCAGATTGGTTTCAGCCAATGAAAAATGTTTGGGTGGGATGTCACGCCTAGTCATTTTTTTATTAGATATACAAGTGGGTGTCATTGTAACGCTAAAAGAGCGACTAATTTTAGAATATGTGAAGGTAATTAAAATTAGAGATCGAATAAATTCCTGATTGGCGACGGGTTTTTAATTGCGATTGTGTCATTTCGAGTCGATGCATGCGCCGCCAGAACGCATTGACTTTGCAGTAGACGTTAGCTCCAATCATTCAATTGTGTGAATAGCTATTTTTGTACCGTGAGTGGAAAGACTTGGAGTAGTCGCAGATGTGTGTGTGTGTATCTTAGTGAGATCAAGGCTTAAGCACCCAAATGAAGCGGTAGAGGATATTAAGCATGCTAGCCAAATCAGCATCAGTTGACGAATGTACTCGACCACTAGACAGGAACCACGCTTTGCGACCACAGCCACGAGGTGGTACAACGACGCAGCCTAGAAATGTAAAGAGCTTACGAGATGAAAGTTTCTAGCGCCGAAGCCTGGAAGCAGAGCGAGTTCACACCGCTGTGAAAACCTACAGATCAGAGCGCAGGCAGATTCAGACAAAGCTGCGCATACGCGGCGGCCATCAGATCGCTCACGCCTGAAGTAACCCATATTGCTTAGCTTGGTTGTAATGGGGTGAGTCCGTTACATAACATCGTCAAAAAAGTATTAATGAGAATAGTATCGTAGCAAATAAAAAACTCACAAATGTTATTTTAGCTAATGATAGTTAACATTAACACCTTTTACCTTTTAAGATAATATTGTCGTCGCATCTCCTAGTAGTTAGAGATGCCTTCTCACTGGCTGATATAGGCCAGCCAACGCGCTGGTCAATGAAGGATGGATGCGCGCAATGAGTAAAGGGCAAGTAGTCGACACATATAGTTATAGTTTAATACTGTTAGGACAAGGTTGTAACAAATTAGTTTTACTAAATAAGTTTAACTATATTATATACAGTTCTTGTAGCGGAGCTGCACAGCTCTTTAGCCAGAGGAAGACTTTCGGCTGGAAGCCTCTTAGTTCTAGAGAGCTAGATAGAGTTAAGGCTAAAAGCCACTTAGTTCTAAGGAACTAATTAAACGACTTAAAGTCACCCTGTTCTAAGGAAGTAGGAGAGACTTTTAGTCAGCAAGCAATAAGCTTAAGGTTCAGAGAACCAACGCACAGAGTGCAAGAACAAGCTAGAAGCTTAGAGGTTCAGAGAACTAACGCACGAAGTGCACAAGAGAGCAAGTCAGAACGACTTGCGATCTTAAACTTAAAAGGAGAACTGATTTTATTTATGCTTTAAGATTTTATGAATAGTCCTACTCTAAGTACACTACACTAGATTAATTACTATAATAGTAATTATTATATGCAGACTTTGCTATTGGACGACGTATCGTCTAAACATCTGTGTATGATGTACTTAATGCAGCGTTAGTGATTTATCGAATCCCAATCGATAAGATACTGTATTACCGAATACCGTATCTTAACGCTCATACTTAATACCTCTCTAAAGAGAAGTATCATAATGCATTATATGCAATACAAAAGGGAGTTTAACCGTAAACTCTCGGAAAGACGCTACGACCGTCGTGTAACCCCGTTACACCCTCCCCCACCAGACTGACGTTCCCATAGAATATCACTCGACATTTTTCCTCGTAGAGGTAGTGCTTTAGCGAACGCTTAAAACCTCACGGTTTGTTCACGGCACATAGCATGACGCCTCCTGGCAGTGAGTCACAGACTCTTCGGGACCTCATTGAAGACAACCTTGACGAGGCAGTTGATTACGAAAGTGACACCGTCTTTGTGGGACCCGATGGGTCCCCTTTAGCCACCCTCACGGGTGAAGATGACACCGAATCCTTTCCCTGAACGCGGTGCTGCAGATGCGCTAACAGCGTTACGTGACCCGCCTGACGTATCATCAACGGTAACAGTTACCAACCCACTCGACGAGCAGCAACAGCAGACCATCGACCAAGAGGTAGGCACCAAGCGCCGGACGAAGAATATGGCGAGACTGCAGGACCACCGACAGTACAGGTTCAAGCCACCTACGGTGGAAGAACGCCTAAAGGAAGCATCTGGGCATTCTCTTTCTGGCTGGACCATTGGGCCTGAGGCCATTTTACCCGAGGATGTTGCCACGTGCACGGCACTTCGACAACGATATCTGGAACCCCACATTACTACACAAAGCCAATACTTGGCACGCCTTAACAGGCAAGTGCGCGGTGCGCCAGTTCCTCCCATAAAGGGTGTTACCATCCTTCTGTTCGCGGGGGACACCGAGGACGAAGAAGACACGGCTTTCAGCCGCTGGGCGCATTATGCGCGACGTTTAAGCAGCATGTGGGCCCTACGGGCAAGTGCCGATGTGGCAGATGTTCGACTCGAGCGGAAGATGCGTTACGATTACGCTAAATTGGAGGCCCGGGGAAAATTGAAATCCCAACGAACGCATTATGCGTCTGCTACCCAGCATCCCAATGTTTCGGCTACCCCTGTAGCCGCGAGTCCACGACAGGCCGAGGCCGCTAACCCGCCCACGCCCACCATTACTGGTGAGAAGCGTCAGCGCCAACAGGCTGACCCCGCGCACGACGCTCAAAAACGTCCACGGCGTATGGGCAGTCCTGCCGAAGGGGAACCTCAAACTCCCATGAGTTCCACGACTCGGGATAACCCCGCCACTTTACCAAATACTGGATTTGACCATGGCGGTGACGCTTCTGCAGTAGACGCTCCACATGGAACTGAAGGTTCCCCTGCGCATCGAGCAAAGCCGGAGGAGGCCGGTGTATCGGCACAAGCTCATGCCGAGCTTGTTCAAGAGGTGCGGACCCTTCGTGAGGAGAGGCAGACGATGAACTCCCGGCTTGAGTCCCTGGAAGAGAGTCGGACCCGAATGCAGGGTCAACTTGACTTGTTGGTGCAGATGCTCCGTCCCGCGACAATGCCAATGGGCCCGGCGCGAGCGCCTTAGCGTCTATTTGGGACGGATCCCGATAAGGTTTCAACATGGCGACATAGAACACAGGATGTGTACGCAATTTGCGCGGCAAGTTAAGCGTATACGCTGTGCCTTTCTTGGCAATGACCTTAAAGGGTCCGATAAAGCGCGGACGCAACTTCGTCTTAAAGACAGCGGATACTACATTGGTAGGTAGGTTTTTAGCATTAAGTAATACTTGGTCTCCGACCTCATAATCATTAATACAACCTCTGCTTTTCGCATCGGCATATTCCTTTTGTTTATCTTGACTATCAGCCATTGCATCTTGCACATGTCGTAAGACATTTAGTCGCGTTGCGAGAAACGCATTTACCTGTTTCTAAACAGTATTAGGGCTGACATCAGCAAGCCGATCGGCAACCTCTCCCCCACCAAGCCCTGAACCACTCGGTGGTAGCGTTAACGGAACGCGTGGGTGTGTGAGACCATTGACATAGAACGGAGTGTAGCCGGTAGAGGCGTGCACGGAATTATTGAGTGCAAACTCAACTACAGGGAGAATAGCGCTCCATCGCTTAGGTGTTTCAGCACAAACGCTGCGTAGATATCTTCAACAACGCGATTTACGCGTTCGGTTTGACCATCGGTCTGCGGATGATCCACTGTGGACATGTCCAAACGGGTGCCCAGCACCTGGAAGACGGACTTCCAAAATTTACTCGTAAAACGAGGATCACGATCAGAAACAATTGCCACTGGCAAACCATGTTGGCGAAACGTACGATCGATAAACAGCTCCGCTGTACCCTCACCATCGATCGACTCTGGCACAGCCGCTAAATGAGCCATTTTTCTCAAGCGGTCAACAAAGACCACAATACCTGTATTGCCATGCGAAATCTTTCGGTAGGCCAAATACAAAGTCCATACTAATGTGGCGAAGTGAAGGAGTGAATTTCGCCAAGTGTGATCGCATATTTTCGGTTAAGTCCGAAATGGCCAATATTAATGAGTCGCGATCTCGCGGCCAATATTGATGAGTCGCGATCTCGCAGAAAGGTTTCAAGATGATGTCAAATAGGATGGAAAACAGTGAATGGTGTAGTTTGCACTTCTATGTGGGGTCAAATATGGCCTAGAAACTACGCTATTGCGATCTCCAGTATTTCCGATGGCGATCCGCGTGAACGCGGTCGCTAAGGAGGAAGATGGGTACATCCAAGCATGTGGAGGACGGTCTGGTGTGGATCACGTCGCTATGGAGGACTGGAATGGTGGATATGACATGTCACATAGATGAACTATCTCACATGACCTGAAAAACGGTGAAGAGGACAAGTCGTGATCCGGCGGATCGCGATCCGATGCTAATTATTAGTATCGCGATCCGATATTAATTATTAGTACCGCGATCCGATATTAATTATTTAGTACCGCGATCAGGTACTAATTATTAGTATCACGATCCGATATTAATTATTTAGTACCGCGATCTGGTACTAATTATTTAGTACCGCGATCTGGTATTAATTATTTAGTACCGCGATCTGGTATTAATTATTTAGTACCGCGATCTGGTACTAATTATTTAGTACCGCGATCTGGTACTAATTATTTAGTACCGCGATCT